CCAGTAAAAAATGTTGAGAAGGCAATTTTACATATAATATCACCCTAACTCTAACCCTAATTTAATTAAATAAGTGCATTTACCTACTTTAGCGATCCTCTAAAAAAGGAAGTGGAGTATTATGCTACGTAAGAGGATATTTAATTCCGCAAAATATGGTAAAATTTATTTTCAGACCTATTCCAACTGATTGACTAAAGCGCTTGAAAACACCCTAAATCATTAAAGGTTATTCTTTACCGTCGATTAGGACATTAAACAATCAATACCAGAAAAGGAAAAATTTGTGAATCATGTTTTTCAAATATTTACTTTTAATGAAGTTATATTATTCGAATTGTTTCATTAAGACGATTCAAATGATATTATATCTTAAGTATTCAATTAGTTGGTTTTCAGGATATTTTTATTAAAAGTAAATATTTGAAAAACATGATTTACAGATTTTCCCTTTCCGCATATCTTAGATTCCTGACTTCTGCAAGAAAATTATACGTAGCCAGTGTATTATTTCCATGTACTGTACACCGGCTATATTGTTTATCATATGGGGTGTGATCTATTAAAACAGCCCATTTTTAAAAAATTTTTTATTTGATTTTTGAAAATTTTATATGTATTACTATTTGTAAATCATTATTTAAAATCGATTTACTCAAAATGGTTTATATGTAAAAATGGGCTGTTTTAATAGATCACACCCCATATCACACCTTGGCAATTCTGTAATTAACGAACAAATTTCTTTCAATTCTCATTATAGTATTTTTGGATATTTTTTTTTAATATTCTCTTTGTAAAATTTCTAATTAAAGAAATCCCATTGACTCAATTAATGTCTGTGATACACGTACGTACACAAATTCGTACGTACGCGTATTCTGATTACCATATTTCTGAAGTACAGACTATCTTAATTCAGTTTTTCATTCTTATTTCGTATCAAGATATGCCTTTACCTAAAGACATCCGTGTAGTTTGCGCGATAGGTATGAAACATTTAAAGAAACTTAAATTTATCTATTTGAAAATAAAAGAAAAAAAAAAATAGATATATATTAATATGATTTCTAACTTTATTTAGATTTTGGTACAACATATTCGGTAAGAATTCTAGAAAAATTTTTTATATAGTACATAATAAAAAGGAAATTTGTATTTTTTTTTATATATAAAATTTGCACTCTTCATAGAATAATCGCAAATCATTGTTCATAAAATCATTGTTCATATAATGTAACCTCTCTTCAATAGGGTTTTGCATATGCTCATATAGCAAGTCCTGAAGTTATCATAACAAATGAAACTTGGCCCGACCAGACAGGAATATTAAAAACTAATACAGTTTTACAGTATGATGCTGACTTACAGAAAGTTGAGTTGTGGGGTTCTCCTGCATTGGCTCAACGATATAGACGTCGAAGGAACAATAATTCAAAACCTGTTGAATTATTTAAATTACATTTGATGGACACTTTGGAAGATCAAATGCCTACTTTGCCAGAAGGGTTAGATTATAGGAAAGCAATTACCGATTATCTTTGCAAATTAGGTAAGATATTTTTATGATTTATTTAAAAAAGAAAAATACTAAAATAATTATTCTTGTAACTTTATGGTTTATTTAAATTTTATAACGAATAAATAGGTGAAGTAAGTACCGTAATATATATGCTAAAAAATAATAATCTTTTAATAAATTTTTGTTCTAATATTTTAAAATTCTATTTCTTTTATAGTTGGTTAAATCGACGATTGACATTCGCTGGCCACAAATTGACTTTTTTAAAAATGTATTGCTTATTCTTACTGTCCCTGTGGAGTACTCTGAAAAAAAAAAGGCAATAATGAAGCAATGCGCTTTTGATGCTGGTTTAATAAAATCGACCATTACTACTAATTTAAAAATTACAACTGAACGTGCGTTATTAGTCATTTTAATTTTTACATTTATATCTTTGATAATATTCGTTAATTTTAATTATTTTATTTTTATTTTTTTTTTTTAGCTGAGGCTGCTGCGATTCATTGCATGAAATCTTTAAATGAATTTTCTAACATAAATATTGGATGTACGTAACTGGCAACATAAATGTCAATTATCATCAAGTATTTATTTAAACATTGCTTTTTTAAAATATTGACTAACAATCTTATAAAATTATAGCATCGTTTCTAATCGTAGATATAGGAGGTGGTACTGTAGACTTAACTGTTAGAAAATTATTAGTAAATAGTAAATTAGGTGAAATAACTGAACAAACTGGTGAATGTTGTGGTGGAAGTTTTGTTGATAAAGAATTTATTAAATTTGTTACAAGAAAAATTGGTGAATCACCAATGTATTTACTTAAAGAATTTCATTATGGTATAGTACAATATATGGTTCAGGAATTTAGTAGATCTACTAAAATTCCATTTACTGGTGATCCTAAAGAT